GGAAATGTTAGGGTGTCCAACATCCCATAAATCTTTTGGTAACAAAATTTCCTTAGCTATTCTTTCGTAAAGAAAACGTGTAACGAAGCTCTGGGACTAATAAAGTTCGCGTTGAAGTGTCAATTTTTATTTTCAGGTTTCGTGTTTGGCAACGATGTTGTGCGCTTAATTCACGGAAACGACGAGTGCCTAACCATTCCAGAAAACTGGAGTGACCACCCTCAGCACAAGTTTGATTGACGTTGCCTCGCGTTGTTTAATAAGATACACCTCCACTGTTTAGCATCGTGATTTACGAAGGCGGAAACGCATGCAACCAGGCCAGGTCCTTGTGGCGCATAGAGCTGGTGCACATAAAGTGGCACGGGTCGATGATTGGATGGGAACAGGCATTTCGCTTGAGACATATTACATCGGGTCGATTCTTGGCATTGAACAACGATGGACAGGTGTGTCTCCTGCATAAGGCCAAAGCGGAATTTGAGGCTACCGTGTTCTTGATGCTTCCATCGAAGGTAAAATGTGCCGATCAAGGTTTACTCCTTATAAGGATGAATTACGCAGGATTCGAAGCGAACTGGATACGAGGAAAAAGAGGAAGGCATGGGCGTTGCAACGCTGAAGTACAGCGATACGATAATGTTCGTGCAGCATTTCCACAGCAATCTATGGCTTTCATGTCAGGTAGGGTTACTGTATGTGTCCTGCAGGGCTGATTCTGATGTTTCCAGACAACAGCAGTCACCCGAAAGGGGGTCGGCAAGGTCGAAGAAAAGAAGGCGATCGCGTTAGAAGAAGCAAGAATGGACGACTGTTTCATTTTGTTTATGGCTCAGGACGAGGAATCAAAGTCAGCGCGAGTCATCAGGAAGTGTTCACAGATTCTGAATCGCTTTCTAAAGTGATAACTAGCTCCTAACGGAATGTTGTTGTAAAGAACATACACTTTTGCTAGGGAACTGGAAAATTTGCAGAACGAGGGTAGCAAATGTCCAATATGGCAGCGAGTCAGTTTGTCTGAAGTTCAGAAGTTGATGGAAGACCTGATCGAATATTTTGCACAACCAAAGGACGACCTCAGTACGTTACATTATCCCTGCCGTTAATTAACTTGTAGTATTCAAATCTTTCAAGTGTCGTTGATTTTCAAACAGTTGACAGGCCGTGTTCATCAGTTCGCTTTCCTCTAGATTTTGAAACGATGCAGAACCGACTCCGCGCGTTGAGAAACCGGCAGAACCTCTTTCAAGAGGAAGGAGTACTGAACATGATTTTGGATACGATCGATCGCTTTGCTTCCATAGAGTCCCTACCCGGTCTGGCGGACATCATCAAGGAAGAATCAGCCAAGGACTGGGAGAACATCTCCACATACTTATATCTCCTGCTTGCGGCGATGATCAGAGGCAACCACTCAAACTGCGCCCAGTTTGCGGATTCGCAGCGTCTGGATTGGCTCTTTAGTCGTTTGGCCAATCCGCAGTCAGCTGAAGGTTTCAATTATTTGAAAGATTTATTGTGTTCACATTAATGATGACAAATGTTATCTTCAAATGATTGGCACTATGACACGAATGTTCACGTTTGATGACGCGACTAGTACCGAAGTTCCGGTATTTTGACCACAAAGTTGCGAAAGGTGGTATTTTTTCAATTGCCGATATTATACATAATGCGTCCTGCCACGAGATGGTTCTACCTCGACCATCAGCCGTTGTTATTTTCTATTCAACGGGTAGATGGTACAGCGTGCGTTTTTCAAATTAAGGATTTAATGGCTATAGAAAATAGGAAAATAGGGAATTTCGTGTACATTTTAGCAGTCAGACGCGGAGAGGGGCAACAACAAATTTGACAATAATTGCAGAGCCAGAAAAAACAGCAGTCATCTGTAGTGCAGATTAGTTTTCTGAAGGAACTCTCGCATAAACACTGCAAAGTGACCTTCGTTGGCTGAGATGAGAATCATCTGACTTACCATGGAGTAAGAGTATTTCTAAGTTGTGGAATAAGATGTTGTAAAGTTCCGTTTCATGGATTGTGTCATTTCACGCGATGCAACGAGAGGAACTGGTGTAGCAGGTGCAGCGGGCCAGCAACTATATTAGGTGCCAGTCTTGTTATAATAGCAGTTTACTCATCATGCTATTGGCTATCATGTTCTGATGCTTGTAATCCGAGTTAGTGGTCAGAATTCTCTTTCTTCAGATAGAACTATTTGCAAAAGCAAGAACAGCTCTTTTAGCCTTCATTCCTTGCGTTAATCCTCGCTATTGTGTTTACATTACGGGTATACAGTAGTGCTTTATCATCTTTCGAAGGTTATCTCAGTTAAAAGTTAAATTTCTATGCGTAATTAATGGCACAAATTAATATATTACAGCATAACTAGTATGGAAACGTAGAGAAATAAAAATGGTAAGTTTCGCCGTTAGATCTTTAGAAATATCATGAGACGATTGAACATCCGGCCGGCGAATTGTAATGGCCAACGGCGTCTTGCAAGAAGTAGATGGAGCCGTTGTGACTAAAGTAGAGCTGAGTCTGAACATTGAGCTCTCTGACTTTAGTTCAGTCTTCATCCAGATGTTCACTTACGAGTAGAAAAATTAGACCATGGTGCAAGCGGCTGAAATGGACTCTATGAAGCGATTATTAAGACTTACGCGTCTTACCGTTGTCCGAGGGTCAGATATTCAATAGACCCTTGATGTACAGCCTCCGCTGCTTCTCCAGATTAAAATCTCACTGTTGCAATGATTTGGGCACGGCGTTCAAATCTTTCAGAAATGGAAGTGAAATAGCTACCAATTACCAAACCTACTGGCCGAAGACCCCGGTTGACGGCTAAGGATAATCTGGGGCAAGTGTACCGGAGAACTGTGGTCTAATTTGGGTCATCTTCTGCAGAAGCTCAAAAACTGGCACAGGATCGCGAATGATGGAGACAATGTCTCACGCGTGTGCCTTCGCAGTCAGAAAGAATTAACGGTGATGGAAAACGACTGACTGACCGAAACGCAGCTTTTTTATTCTCTTCATAAATCCCTTAATAACAAGCAAGCCTCTTCTATTACTCATTGGACTTTTACGAACCGTAATAACTTGAATTTAGACAAGAATGAGTTTCTTGAGTCAGCCCTGCCACTTGATCCCTTACTTGGGTCGTTGTTTGATCACCGCGATGAGGATAGCTAAGATAATATGTTTTGAAGTTTGAAGAGTATCAATCCCTAAAGCGGAATGGGTCGTTTTGGCACAACCGTTCTGACAATAACCGGTGACCAGTGTCAGCGTGCATCCCAGTGAGCACGAGTTCGAATCCACGGATTTCGCAGATGTCCGTCTGTTTTAACTGTGCGAATTATCCTGAAATGTAAAGCTCTACATTAGCACAATGCAGGCCTCTTGTCAAACTTCTGAATTTCGACAGTTCAGATTCATTTTATGATTCTGTAATAGCGACTCCGTGAAGTCATTGAGTGAGCACACTCCTTTGTGGTCGCGAGTTTTAATCTATGTAATTGATGTATGTTTGCTTTCATCCCCGTTACGGCCTATTTATTATTCTATTTGTTAACAAAACCCAGCCATTAACTCATTACGAAGCTCCTGTCAACATAAAATCACCCTCCCCCCGGTATTGCGGGGTTTCCCTCAAAGAGTTAATATTCGATATCGCCGGTAGGGATAGCAGTTTCATGTGGTTTCAGATTTACACAGTGTAGTCACACCGTCCGCTTGCTCATTGCTTCCAACTCGATCGTGCAAGAAGGCCACGGCTCCAATGCATTTTAGCAGCTGCAGGGCATTGGTGCAAAATCACGTCACTGCAGTCTGTTCATTGTGAATAAGGATGAAACAGTAAATTCATAGCCACGACCTCAACAGTGATCGCGGACTCAAAGGCATCATGTGCTGGCCACAGTGAAATCACAAAGTATAACGTAAATCTCTGAAATTCGCAAGTTTGACAAACACCACTCATTGTCAGAGGGAGCTTTACATTGACATGTAACATGAATTAATACATTTGCTACAAATGGGTATCTGTCTGTTACATCGATTCAAACTGGCAGCCTGCTCGAAAAAACATATTGCACCAAAGGCATTGCACGAATAGGTCATGACCCATCTGAGAAGGAAATCGACGTCAGAGAAAAACCACATTATATGAGTGATAGCTAGCAACTGCTACGTGGACGTTTCGTTCCAGCTCTGTTTTTTCTCCCATCAAATGTGCTTTTTTTCCTTCTAATTCTAGTGCTTAGGTATACTCGATGTCCTCTATTGCGTTCTGACCGAAAGTCCCGAAGCGCTGAACAGCATTACTGAAAGTCACATAGAAACGGTGATATCTCTTTTGGAGAAAGTTGGAAGGGATCCAAAGGTAATAGAACTGAACATTTAATTCCTTATTTCCGGGCGTCTTTCATCTGACCATAGGTGTTGAACGTCCTTTCATCGTTATGTGAAGGCAACAACGTAGCCGTGCGAAACAGCCAGAACGTCATCTGCAGCAGCTTGCTTTCTAACAAGACGCTTCTACTTGAAACGGGAATGGTCAGTCAGGTTTCCAGGTATGCGTACCGACACTTAGTTCTTACAGAAAACTTCATACGTTATTTTGTTTAGCATGATGCCGAACATTCTGGTTGGTCTCGTGAAAGATTCAGCAATGTTCAAGAGGTGGTACTTCGAAGCTGAACTGGAGTTTATGGAATCTTCGGATGGGATGAAGCCCCACCTTCGAGTAGGTTGGGGTTCGACTGCAGGCTACTTCGCCTTCCCCGGTTCCGGTGAAAAATGGGGATGCAACGGCGTCGGCGATGACATGTTTTCATTCGGCTTCGACGGCGAGTACATGTGGTCTGGTGAGCACTAACTCGTCTGATTTATACGCTTGCATAGCCTTTACGACAGGCTTGTATTTTAGCCGGCAGGAAAATTCACGTTGGTGTTAGAAACGTCGTGAAAGGCGACGTCATTGGATGTTACATCGACTTCACCGGGCCCGAAATAGGATTTTCTTTGAACGGCAATGTCATGGACACCTGTTTCAAGGACTTCAACCTCAATGAACTGTTTTTCCCAGTAATGAGCCTTTCGGCTAAGGTCAGGTACGTTGTTATGAGCCATGAAAAAATGAGGTTTCCGTTGCGTTGCTTATCTCTTGTCCTTGGTGACGAACATGTCACAATCATAAAATTAACAGTACCAAAAGAAGTTCTCTTTTTGACAAGAGAAATCTCAACCCAATTCCGCTTTTTCCACCAAAATTCCTCAGTTACATAATCGACCCTATCATTTTGAACAGTAATTTGCATTTTATGCTACTAACTCTGTATGACGCACATTTATGTCAAACTTGCACAGGTAGGTTGTAGGAATGCAACTGCGGTCACCTTGAGAGGAATGATCTTGGTCCAGCGTCAGTATTTTTTCGCAGAGTGATTATTATACGTATTCCAAGCAGGCAGAGCAATTGCGTCGTTTATTGGCATATAACGCGTAACTCCTTCCAAACCATATTTCGCGAAATATTGAACCGCCCATCGCTTCTAGTTGCCTAGGACGGCGAGTTTTATACATATCAGGGTTCCATGACATTTGTGCGATTCTCGCTATTTGCTTCCGCGTAAGCGTCACTGAATATTCTTATTTTGCGTAGTGTGCATCTGGCACTGTAGGTGCTTAAATACCATGGAACCAGACCTGATCAAATGATCTCTCTACGCCCATAGGCAATTAAAAGCGGGAGGAGGGTGGCGATGCAGTACGCCGTAAAATCTTGTATTGGGTGAGTTGTGCGCTGTTTGACGAACTACGACTGACGAACCTGTTTTGATGTAAGTGATGTGATGAAATAGCATGATAGTCATTTTCACCGCGAAATGTTTGGTAGTGCTGGATTCAGTCAGAAGGCAGAAGCCGTGAGCAGCTACGACAACGATGAATATTTATTGCCG